TATATATATATATATATATATATATATATATATATATATATGTGTAGATAAGTCCTATTGTGGAAAACACTGGAACTATAGAATTTCATCCTTAATTATGTCCTAATATGCATTATATTGTGAACATTTTTGTCAAAGGTACCTATATGCCCCAAATTATCAAATATCCTTATTGACTTATCCTCACAGAAATGCACTAATGCAGTTTGACCCAAAAGACAGACTAAATCTGAAAGGACTGGTGGTTATTCAGATATCAACCAGTTACTATGATACCTCTGGTACCCTTCCTGCCAGGCAACGGTAAGCATTTCCTTTCTATCAGGAAACAAAGACGCCTCAAATTAAGGCTGTTCAAACATAGAAGCAGTTGAAACATATTTGAAGGACACATGTTTTGCCTGCGCTATCAGAAAGTAAACAACTAGTTCTTAGGCTGAAGAGATGACCCAGAATACCCTTCCTACTGTCTCAGTACAGTCACTGTACACCTGTAGTGGAGGGTTCTGTGATTACAGTAATGTCATAATTAGTACAAGATGATGTAGATTAGGATCAGAAGTCAGCCAGAGGGTACATGTTTAAGCACTTGCTAAATATAACAACATGCTTTCTAATTATGATTGAGGGCACAGAGATGACAGGATACTTCCTGAAGGAAGACTGTACTGTCAGGAGTAATTATTGACTAAAATAACTTTCGAATGAAAGGAGGGTGCACATAGTTTCTATGAGTAAATACAGGCGTATTTCATTTAGGTGCGGCTAGATTCAGGTTTAACTCATAAGTCATCTGTTTTTCATGATATCTTGTTAAAGAATAACTAAGTACCTTTGGTTTCCTTAATTTCGAACAAAAGGTGTGCCTTTTCTAATCTCAATGAAAATCCATGAGTACCCATCATTGTTTTGAAAGGATTTTGCCAAGTCAGCTTAAAGTCACGTGCAGGGAAGGACGTACCCTCTATCGATTTATTTTTTTAACCGCTGTCATCTGATTTGAAGTGGTATTGTTTGCAGGTAAGGATCAATAGAGGATGCCTGCTAGGATATCAGTCTTGTGGCATCTACACCAGTGTGTGCTATAGTGTGTGGTATCTGTTGGAGCCTGTATTATGATAGAAAAGAGTAAAAAGGAGAGGCAGAAAGCTATATGATCAGGATTTAACACACGTAACAAATGATCAGAGCTTCATTATACTGCCTCTTGCTGTGTGGATCACTGTCAACCCTTTCTAAGCTTAACATAAGGATGAACAAAACCAACAGTAAAAGTGAACCTGGCTAATATAGTAATAGTCACTACATGGGGAATCTACTGGTCCAATCTAGTACTATGTCCAAGGACTCATACTAGGTCTCATACTAGAGTTCCATTCTGGGTCTCATATACTCTCATATCACAGGTCTACAACTTCAATCAATCCTGCAAACACGGAAAGAATAATCATTCATAGCTTGACTGGTCAGACTACACCTGTACAGCTGTATGGAGGCACAGTACCTGGCATATGTTAGCTAACGTTATCCTTTCATTGTAGACAATTAGGTCAGAACTACTGTGGCTCTCATTCAAAATTCATGATCTAATTTCGTGTCTCCATGGTTACTGGTTGCGGGGTTGTCATCGTGTATTCCAATTTACCGCAGGGAGGGGAATTAGATTGGTCACTGTCTGACCCCATAAAACTATTAAAAGCTTTTGATTACACGAAAGAAACTGAACTATTTAACACATTGTGCACCGTGATGCTGGCCAGTGTCAGGTTTTAAACTTGAATTATTATAGAAATCAATGGATCTTTATGGTATCTGATATATGATGAAAAAATAAGATGTTCGTGGTGCAAAGTGCAAAAACAACCCTCATGAGGCACACTCATTTCGTGATACCATTCCAAAATCTATACCTGCAAGATGTGAACAAACATTTGTAATGAACAGTTTGTAATGAACAGGCTTGCTGTATCATACTTTATTTCAACATGTCCTCATTAATTATGCAAATGACCTCGAAATTAACATAATGTATGTATAGTGGTGCTAACCTTCAAGTAACTTACACATGTCATGAGGTATAAAATTCACCAATAAGGAGTCACAGAATTTTAACATTAATTATGCAAATTAGGTCATAATTTGCATAATTGGTATCTGTTGATGTTCTGCCTGCCACAGATTAAATAGATTACATGTATAGTAGTACTATTATATAAACATGACTTTTATTACGCAACAATGTACGAGGTACAAAGTATGGCAGAAATGAGAGAACAAATCTAACAAATCAGTCTACATAGTATAAAAGACTGTAATTATAGAATTTCCTCCTTAATTATGCAAATTAAGTCCTCATTTGCATAATTTGCATCTAATTATGTACAACTCTCTCCCAGCTACCTACACACCAAAATTGATGAAAATACGTTGTTCCTATCTGGAGTTATTGGCTTTTAAAGGTTTCGCCAGAAAGTCCCCTGCAGTTCCAGAATAATCTGCTAGGTGGACCAAATTCACACCACTTATTTCTGACAGGAAAAGCTGTCAAATAAAGGCGTTAACGAAGTTATGCTGACCACAAAGTTGCGGAAACACACACAGACAGACCCACAGACACACACACAGACATACAGACAGACACGCCAAAAACAATACCTCCATTTTTCATGGAGGTAACAACACTGACTGACAGTAGGGTTGTTTGTTCTGAAGGACCTCCAAACTCAGGATTGTTCCAGAAATATCCACGAAGTGAGGATCAACATATGTTTGCCATGGAAAGGAAGTCTGTGGCTTACTTAAGGGTTGCAGAATGTGTGAAGAAACCAGAAATGTCTCTGCCAACTGTTACATGTATCCCTGGGGAAGTGTTGCTCACTTCGTTTTCTCACACAGATGGGAGCAAAATCTGCAGGGGACATTCCTGCAATCCTTGCGAAGATGCAAGTAAGGCAAAGATATTTAACCTAACGATGCGGTCACATTCGTGGTAGGTCGTCGTACAATGTTGATGCTGTAGAATTTTCAAGCAGGCTATGACAGAACTAATTACCGACAAGGATCTAAGACAGCCTTTTCCAAATGGTAACATTAAACAGTTGAATTTTGTACGACACATGCATGACTTTCCTGAGAATGGCCTTAGTTTGACATCTTACGACGATCATCTGGTGTTGTGCTTTCACAGATGATAGCTGTTCTTTCAGTGTAAACAGCAAAAAATGCCCTGATGGAAAAAAAACACACAACTACTTCAGAAGTTGTTGATAGTTCTACAGCATGTAATTCCTCTTATTGTATTGATCAGTTTGTGGTTAAAACAATTTTGTGGAAGTTTAGTTAAAAAATTGCTACAAAGTTGGAAGCCTTATGACTGATGATTGTTATTTTTCTAGAAGAAAAAATATACATATTATTTATAGCATATGGTGAATTTATCTGAGCTGCCATGCTGTACATGTACATGTGAGAATATGTAAATGAACTCTAACACTAATGTCCATTACACTTACCCTTTTACAGCCCACTCTGGGTTATTGCACTTAGCTCATGTTGATGTAATCTGTAACAGAGCACCATGTTTGCCATCAGAAAGCCAGGTTATTACAGTCTCTGCTGAATTCTGGAGCGTCCCTACTTAGGGATGATATCACAAGATGAAATGTGGTCGGACCCGGTCCTTTTAATCAGATAAATGGCTTGATTGATGCCTTGGTGTTTTGGACCAGTACCTAAATGATTTTTCCAGTAACTGTCCTGGAACACAGCGCTTGCTATAGTCTGGTCATGTTACAAACTATTACATGTGTAAAGATGAAAGTAGCTCAATAAACTATTAATCCAATTTGAGGTGTACCACTTTAACAACAGCCACTTTTAGATACTAGTAATAGGTTTACTACATGTAAACAGCAGCACTTCGCTCCATTATGGGCCAGTCATTTTTTTGCTGCCTCACAGAACGCTGTCATTTGAACCTTTATGAAACCTACACCCTGTGTGCAATGTTAACCTTTATGTAACCTGTGCCATATGTGCAAGAATACTGAGATGTGTTTTTGTGTACCAGCCATTCTGACTGTGTTGTTTTGCACCCTTCCAGCTGAAGCCCAGAAGCCCAAGATCACCTGTTACACCTGTCGCCAGCCGTGTGCTGGGGAGGTGCTGAGGGTTCAGGACAAGCACTTCCACATCACCTGCTTCGTCTGCAGAGGTCAGTGTCAATATTGCATCATAATGTCATTAATGTCAGTCTTAAGGATCTTGGAATGAAGGACATGGCATGTCTTTTACTTTTGCTGATCACTGTTTGGTGCCGACGTCCCCTACGAATACTGTAGTGACTGTCTGACGGGCTGGTTATAAATGCCCAGAGGGGAGAAGTGTTATCCTGAAGTATGTTGTCAAGTGTTCTCAGGGTAGTTCTGTCCCATCTACTTGCTAGCGTAGGGAGCGAGTCAGCAGATAGCCCAATTATCCTGAGACAGCGTTTTTTGTTGATATTGATCAGTACAAATTAAGTTGAGACTGTTATTCTATGGCATCATGTAGGACAAGATTTAGCACCAGCCGACTTATTTTCATCAGGAGAAACCCAGGGTCATATTCCCAGCATGCTTCCCATACCAGCGGTTGTTATCCTGGAGGATTTGGTGCAGTTTAGCCATCAGTCACCAGGGGGACACCTCAGTTGTTTATCCTTCCAGGTTTTGTGCAGTTTAAACATCAGTCACAAGGGGGACAGCTCAGTGGTTGTTGTAGCCCGACATCACTTACTCAATGATGAAAGACAAACACCTACTGACAGTGAATGTACATTGTAAAGATTGGTGCTGTTATTATTGCTATAGACTTGGCAAAACAGTCTGAAGTTTTTTAAAGTTAAATTAAAGGGACTTGGACAATGTTTGAAGCACCAGATGGAATTATTGTTGCTGCTGGCACAAGTGGTAGTAGATAAATGGGACCACTACAGTTTATTTGCTTTAGTAAGTTGCTTTCCATGCCATGTTTTTAAAGTGGCACTACAAATCCCACAGTTTAGTATATTCAAGGTAACCTTCATGTTATACATTTTGTACTTGTCCTTTAGAATCCTTGCCTTGCAGGAACAATGTTTGAACAACACTCACTTTTTTTATCTTAAGGAGCAGAGACTTGAAGAGCAGCTGTTAGATAAAGTGTTTTTTTACTTTCACACTGAAGGTTAACAAAGAGTTTCAGCTAACTGGATCACTTCGGGAAGCCTTTGATGTATCTGTTGAATGTTCTGAATGTTTTTGTAGTAATAAAATAGAAATTGAAATAAAACTTAATTTTTTTACCTAACTCAACACATGTCCTCCCACCCTGCCTAACTCAGTAGACTGCCCAGTAGCAGCAGGTAAAAGCACTGCCCAGGAAACCTGATCTGGCAGGCATTTGTACAGGCCATTTACAGGACTAAAGAGTTTACCTGGCTTGAAAAGCGGCCTTGTATTCAGGGGGACTGAAGCGTTTTCCCCCAGCATCCCCCCTAGGATTAAATGGGCGCTGGGTCTATCACATGTGGAGCTGTCCTTCTGACTTATAAGGGCAGCCTTCCCGCTTACACTGTAGCAGATTCCAGGAGACCTTGTAACCATTCAACTCTCCCTCCCTACCCAGCTGAATGGAATATAACTAGAACCTGTAGTAACTCTAGTAACAGAGAAGATCTGTACTGTGACCCGTACAACAGGACTCCAGGTCCCTCGTGCTGCACTCAGTGGCCACTCCCTCCTTCCATTGAATCTTCCACGTGGAGGACAAGTGGTTATTCCAGACGAGACATCCATGACACTTGCTTTCTTGGGATGGGGATAAGATGTCCAGTAAGACAACAGTTGGGGAAGCAGCCTGACCTGATTCTACCCAACAAGATTAGCCAAGGAACTGTCAAAAAATAACTGTCAGACACTGTATTGGTTATTGGAAATTGATTGCTAAGCTGCGCCAACAAAAGATAAACAAGCATGGATTTTGAACGTCAGCTTGCTGAAATCGTGATCAATTCTCTGTCCTGTTCAGTCTGCCGGCGTCAGCTGGCCACCGACGGGTTCTTCCTGAAGGATGGGATGTACTACTGCACGCGGGACTACCAGGAGATGTTCGGGACAAAGTGCCACGGCTGCGGCGACTACGTGGAGGGGGAGGTGGTGACGGCACTCGGCAAGACGTACCACCAGAAGTGCTTTGTCTGCTCACGCTGCAGGTAAACATGTTTGTTTGCTTGTTTGTTTAATTGGTATTTAGATTGTGATATACCAGTTTTGCTCTGCAAGTTGTGACTGTAAGGTTTGATCCCCTCACACTAAGATGGACCTTTACTCTTTTCGATAAGTGCAGGTAAATATGTACTCAGCTCTTACTTACAAACAATGCTCTCAGAAACTAGAAAGGACAGGATCTAGTCAGGCTCTGTACCAAGGTATTTTAGTCATTCATTGGAAAAAAAAACAGTGGTAGATACACTACACTGGGATATCTGAAGTGTGCATACAGTACCTCGACAATGCCTGAAACAGCATTGAAGTCAGTGTTTTATGTGGCAGTCTTGGGGCACCCAGTCTGATTACGAGAATTATTTGCTGAAGATGAAGAAAGCGGCTATCATTTTATATGGAAGGGTATTGAGTAGTCTCAGTGGGAGCCACACACTCACCAGGTAATGGTGGTAATATGGGACTGGGGCTGTTCATTGTGGGGTGGGGCTGGGTTGGTAATGTGGGGGTGAGTCTGGGTTCACCAGTCTCGGGTCAGGGAAGACATTCAGACTGCCCTGTAGGGGAGTTTGTACCCAAATACAGGTGTTTAGACTTCTTTGTGTTCGTTTTGATGTTGTCTGTGTTTACTGAGTCGGCTTGGATAGACCGTAAACTCTCACGCTGGAAGGCAGAAACTTACTATAATTGTGTTAATCAGTCATAATAGTTCCTTGTCTTCACAATATCACTAGTACAGTAAAGCCACATGTTAAGAATATACAATGGCATATGATAGAGCTGTTTTTTTTAAACCTTCAGTACTGCTAAAGTAGTTATTTGGTTCCAAATTTATTTAGTTTTGGGGTTAGACAGCAAGGAGAAGGTTAAACATTGTATGGAACTGTGATGTACATGTAGTGCTAAAACTTGCTATACAGTAGCAGATCATTACTTATGGTACAAACTATGGTGTTAGCAAGTTAAACAGTAAGATGAATTATGTGTGCATGTTTACATTGTAGTCAGCATATCGGCTCCTGTGGATTTGCAAAAGTACCAGAAAGTACACCGATTTTAGCCCGGAAATTGGGGCTTAAACCTTTTAGCTGTGGAGTTCTCAGTGTTTTAGAATGCTCACATGGCTCCCATGGCATGTTGGGGAGGCGGTTGTGTTAGGTCAAGCATGCTGTTAGGTCAGGGTAAGTGGGTGGTTAGTATAAGCGCAGGGTTGGGTTTCTTCCCTGGAAACTTGTGTGTGAATGGGCGCCGCTTTCTCAAGTTCCGCTAGGAACAGGACAGAGACTTTTATAGGAGCAATCAAAATATCTTAGTAGCACATTTATTCCTGGGCAGATGTTTTTAGGTATTCATTTTAAGGTCTTTATAACATTAATCATCCACTTTGTTAAACACAGTCAAACCTGTACAATTTATTAAGGACCACTTGGCCATTGATGTACAGTCATACCTGTACAAGTGACCACCTAATCAGTGTTACCACTTTTTGGTGGCCCTCTTAGATAATTTTCCCATTGACACAGTCATTAAGCATCCTGTCTATATCGACCACATGCCCACACATAGACCAGATTTTCTTGGTCCATTGAGTGGTCTTGGGCAGTTTTGACTGTATTCACTTTTCACCTATTTCACATCAGCTATATTCCACACAGTAGCAATGAAAGTAATCCTGTAAGATAATCCCTTTTCCAAACATTCTCCCTGTCTTCATGAGGATAAGATGGACAATATCAGTATAGAGACAGGGCATGGGTGACCTAAATCCATGAAAGGATCCTAACAAGTGTCTGGGAAACTTTCCCAGGGACAATGTAGCCATTTCAGTGTCATCTGAAAAGGTGTGTCAAAATCCTTGTGATTTCTGCTACTTGGTAGATTGTTTATTTATGTTTACCTTAAAAGTAAATAGATAGATGAATAACTTAAGAGTCAATTTTTACTGCAATTTACAACCAAAAAAAAAGTGAACACTAACTATGGCTCTGTTGGTAAGGAATAAACAGTTCATACATTATCTGTGATCTTGGGTCATCTGAACCAGTTGAGAATTCATTTCAAGGACAATTTCTTTGCATAAGTCTGGTATGTTTAAGACATGGTGTGCATCTCCGAACATTACAAACCACTTCTAAACTAAAAAATATAAACAAGTATGATAACTAATAAATGTTTGTAGTCTGTAGTGTTTAGCCTATAATGCTATTAGGGAAAGTACAAAGGGCTGAAAAAGTCGAGTTCACCATTGTTGTTGTGTCCTATTCCTTAGCACTGGAGCACAACTCCAAGGTTGGGTTGGATTTCTTTGACAAAGTGTCACCCATGCCATTCTCACAGGAGTAATAGGCAATGGGAGCCTTCAGAAAAACATGTTTGCTGGTCATGCAAGCAAGACAACGTTCCTGACAAGCAAACATGTGAACCAAATCTTAAAATTCACCTACTACACAATAAGGGCTAACATCAGTATATAATATCTTGTTATAATCATCATTGATTTCAGTTAAATTTCTAATAGCAAAGTAATCTTTTATGTAGTACATGTAACCTATGTCTGTTTGCATTGTGAGAGTTGTCACATCTGAAGATACTCAAGTTTGCTTGTGCTATTAAGTCTGTCAAAATACTAAGTAAAGCATCATATCTAGACCAAGCCATGACAAAGTGAAATTCATTTTTAATTCCATCAACGTAAACATATAGCGTTACCCTTAGCAAGGACTGCTGACATATTCCTGTTGTTCTGTTCCAGGCAACCCTTTCCTCCAGGTGACAGGGTGACGTTCAATGGGAGAGACTGTCTCTGTAAATTCTGCATCACCCCTAATGCCGGGCCCAACCGGGGGATGCCAGCCTCTACTGGTGGGTACAGCAGTTTTACCTCCAAGTAGTTGTTTTTAGTCAGTGTGTCTGTTTGCTTGTATGTTTCCATAGTTATTTGCATCTGCTCGGCACATTTGGGATACTGACCAAATAGAAGTTAGGCCAAAGGTCCCAGATAAGTTTAATTTCCTAACTTCATATTAATGGCTGTTCCTTTATATTATATAGGATGAAGCTCTTTGTAATGTGTGTAGTGGCCACCATCACCCATGTGTGAAGACTGTGGGTTGACTAAACAGCTTTAGTTAGTGATTACTTATGTTGGCATCCAGGAGAAATGAATCATGGTTATTGAACACTGACAGCTTTCTCAAAAGTTTGCACCCAACATCCTTTTCAATTACAATTGTGAAATTTTTAAGCAGGAAACGTGAAGTGAGAATTAACTATGATGGTCTCCAGTAGAACATGTAGGCGTGTGGCTGAGTTTGAACACCTGTTGACTGCAGCAGAAAAACGAGCGTGCTGCTATGTGTTCTGTTTATATCTGTCTGACAAGCCTCACTTCACCTCCCTAAGACTGGATCCAAAGGTGATCCCATGTTTACCGTGGATGGAAGACAGTTGCTACCAGGTGCAACTCAGAATTTCGTATTCAGTTGTGAAGAGGCACAGTAAAAACTCTGCAGTGTGGTTATGTTTTGCTGACATTCTATTTTTTGTTGTCTTATGTTGTACACCCAATTGTTTAATGTACACTTAAATTAATAGGTTAGGTAGATCTGTGTTCCTAAAACTGAATTTGGTGCCCTGCTCTAAGTCTAAGTCCTATGGGACATTCTGAAGATATGTAAAATGTCTGGTGTAACTACTGGTTACAATTACTTCAGTTATCCAGGCCATTTAATCACTCATTCCTCATGTGTAAATAGAGAAAGATTCCAGCAATATCTTTCCTCATATGTAACATGGTTTAAGGTCTTGTATGTCCTTTAATAAGGTTTAACATTTGAAATAAGATTTAAAGTCTGTCTAATGACATTCAGGTTGAAAGGAGCTTTCTACAGCTACTATCTTTGACATATACATGTATGACATATAACTTATTATAAGACTTAAGACCTATGGAGAAGTTTTAAAAAAATGTCCATCTTGAATGGATTATCCCAATCTCAATGTTATCGCAAGTTGTTGATGTCATGTCTTAGGCTACACCAATTTATCTCTTGGGTTCTCTGGGTTTCTATGGACATTTTAAGGTAAAAATATAGCAAGTGGACATCACAAAGGCAGAGGACAGAGAGGAAAACTTGAATATGACAGTATTCATGACTCCATAAAACAAGGCACAAGCCTGGTCCTGTGTCTTTGTTTTCATAGGGCTTTATCAGTTAAGTATATTTTTTAACAATCCAAAAAGCAACAGATTAAATTGGTACGGCCTAGCCTTATCATCACCCATAGCTGTTGGTTACAGTTTCCCCCTGGCTATGCCGCGCACGATTCCAGCGCACACCAAAATAGTCGTGCTTACGTTACAGCCTGGGATAAACCCAGATGGACGCAGTGTTGAGTCCTGAGCTATGCCAGGAGATCTCAGTAAAACTGCAGCCAGCGAGCTGTGGACTCTGACGTTAGCACTGACCAAACTGGTCTGCAGTCTGCTCCCATCAGACAAGATGGCTCGCAAAGTTTCCACGGGGACCATGACGGATTTCTCAGACGATGACGATGTTGTGTTTTCCCCCTCCTTTTCAGCGTGTGCGGGATGTGGAGATGAAATCAAGTCGGGACAAGCCTTGCTAGCTCTGGATAAACAGTGGCATCTGTGGTGTTTCAAGTGCACCCAGTGTGGATGTATGCTGGCTGGAGAGTATATGGGAAAGTGAGTACTGCACAACTAGTGTCAAGTTTGCAGAATTGTTGCCTAAGTTGTTTATAGTACTTATTACGTACTTTGCCAGTATACAGTAAAATACAGATGTGAAAACATTTACTTTCATCCAGAACAAAGTTGATTGAGGGACAGAAAATTTTGTGTTACAGCATGTGGAAATAAACTTCATTTAGCTTTGGAAAAACCAACACTTTGATTAGCCAGGCCTTTTGTGACATTTTTCAAATTTCTAACAATCCCCGCGTTTGATTTTTCACACATGTAACGTCATCTGTCATAATTCTGCCTGGTATCCGAGACAGCCACATGAAAAAACTGTCTTGAACACCTGGATATCTTAGTGTGCATACCTCAAGGATTACTGATGCTGCATTAGTAGATCTCTTTAAATCCACTGTTTTCTTTAATGTGGCTGACATAGGGCACCCGCTAATTAAGTTCTGGTGCAGCACCAAGGGAAACTGCCAGGGTGTCCAAAATCTGATCATTTCTGTTATAACTTTAAATCTTATCACCTTCCAAATTTTATAACAGTCCATCTGTAGCTTCTTAAAATCACAAACACTGTTACACCACTACAAACACTTCCAAAAGCATAACTTTCTTGGAGAGGTACAGTCATGTAATAAGACTGTTTATTTGCCCAAGACCTTGGGATGGCTATGTAAATGTATAAATACACAGGTAAACAGAAGGTTTTTAATCATTCTTAATGACTCCACCCAAACCAGAGTCCAAGGACATGTTCCCTCTCTGTTTACATGCCTCCACCAACCCTGGTGTTAGTTTTTCTGTGGAGTGTTGTGAGTAACACAGTCTCCACAGACAAACCATTGATTCCCTCCCTCCCCTGTTAGCCCAACCTGCAGAGTGACAGGACCCAGCACAAGGCACCTTGTGTTCCGTGATGTAAGACTAAGAGTCTTGGGTATGTGTGGAGTCTTGGCTCAGCTCTGACATTCCTGTCATGCCCTGACATCACCCTGTTTACATCATGCAAAGTCAATGTTATGGGAGGAAGGAATTGTCAGGGTCTGTGTGGGGTGTGTCACATTTACACCCACACTACCCTGCTCTTTTTACTGTTATTTCTGTTTTTTTAAGAAGAAAGCACAGAGCAGGAACACTGCATATTTTTGTAGGAAGGACAGGAATTCCTCTGCAGGTTTTATTTTTCACAATGGTGACAAATGGTTCTGGTGACAAAAGAACCAAAGGAAGAAATAGAAGAACTTAAATTATGTTAATGTGGAGCCCGTAATGTGTCCTTTCATCTATTTGTGTCAAAATAAATATGATTTTCTACCTTAAAAGCTTAAAAGCTTTGTACACCAACTGTCTGACCTACAACAATAAAATTTAAATAACATTGACACTACTTTGAACCTTATTGTCCTGGATAAAATGAGCACTTAATTGTATTTTTGACAACTTCAATCACATTAACATGATTTAAACTTATAAGTTATTGTTGCCAATCCAAGTCTGCTTTGGTATTGACGTGGTAGATGAGTTCAGCTAGAGTTTGGAGCTAGTAAAAAAAGTTTGTTTCAGGAAGATCACATCATGCTTGGGGTAAGATAGCTGGTTAACAACCCTAGGCCTCTAAACATTAAGTATTGGGTTAGGTGGTGGGCAATTGTCGACCTTCATTATACGCGCAGTGTATTGAACTAGCTATCTGAATCCAGTAGTGCAAGCTGGGTCAATTTTCCTCAGACTTGAGGGATTACAGTTTCCAATCAGATTTTTGTTCATATCCTGGAGTAATTAAGCACAGACCACTGCTTGTTGATTATAACTCATTATATTGTACCACATCCACACACCTGACAGCTGGTGTGCTGTTCCAAAATACTTTCTGTTTGCTGAACTTCTTGTGATTACAGAAAGTTTAGACCCTAAACATGCCTTGTAACCTCCAAATTGGACCAACAGAAGGAAGGATTTTAAGTAGGCAAGTGAGCATATTCCCATTTTGGCCTATTGTGCATATGCCAGTAGTGACACCTGCCCTGCACTGTTCCAAAGTTCCTTATGTTTGCTAATTCAGAAGTTTTCTCTGTGTTCTTCCAGAGAGGGTCGTCCGTATTGTGAGCGTGACTACCAACAGCTGTTTGGTGTGAAGTGTGCCGGGTGTCTCACCTATATCACTGGAAAGGTTCTGCAGGTGAGCTGACACTTTCAAGTCTTTAAACGTCTACAGGAGAAATGGCTTTGATCTGTCCAAACACAGTGTTATTAGGGCCCAGTCACACACACATCATTCTACATATGTTTGACCAAATTCAGCTGTCTATCAATAAAAAGTCTGTCCTCGGCAGTTGTTTCTGTCACGGCCAGCGTGAAAATAATGTATAGCATCCAAATTTTATGACTGCCTTTGACATTGTGACTGACATGATTGGGACATGATGGTGGAAAATGTCCTTGTGAAATAGCATCTGAGAAATGAGAATGGATGTCTACAGCCTGGCTGAAAAATCTTTTAACATATCTTTTTTTCCCTGCCTTGTAATAGTAAAAACACAGTTCATCAATGGACTATGTTATCAGAATGTGGCAATGAAATATATATGTAGCATGGCAGGTGGCAACATTGTGGTATACTCTTCCACAACCTCTGTCTGCTCCCCATGGCTAGATATGGGCCTACAGGACATTATGACATACACATAGATCTCACCACACACATACCGATCATTCCTAAATGGTGGACATATCAGCAGGTCTGGAGATTTAGCTTGGCACTTAAAGAACTCCAACCGTGTCCTGATATGGCAAAGTGAACCTAAATGTCAGGAGATGTGGTGATTTGATACTGTAGTGGGTGGTAAGTGGTATCCAACAAATAGATGGGAACATCTTACATATTGCATCAAATCTATTGCACTTGTGTACATATATACAAGTTAAATCTTTTACACTTGTGTGTATATAATGTTATACAAATTCTCAATGGTAAGTGATATCTTAATGAATGTGCAGAATTTCCAAATGCTAATTGTCATAAGATTCATAGAGAATGACAGCACATGGAGTTTGGACATTTGAGGCAAGGTTCAAACATTGTTGGAGTGATCACCACATAGCTTCAATGTTTCTAGTTTTGATTTGCCCACAATGATAACACATACAAGAAATTATATCAAATCATGAAATCTGACAACCTAATCATGTTGATGTTACAGAATGTTGAAATGGTGATGACAGTTGATATGATTCATAGTTTCAATTTTAAACTACATGCACATTTAGTACATGTTTATGTCATCGACATTGTATATTAAACCCATGCCACAATGAAACGGTTATTCAAATTGAAACTTCTGTCCATGTAGTATTACACTTAATTTGTGTCTGACTGAGCATTCATGCATGCTGGAGTAATACTGATCTTTGTAAAATTGCACTTCTTCTTTGTGCCCTGTGTATGTATGTTGCACCTGTGTTTTTATACGCATGACTGAAGAGTTGCACTTCCAGGTGCACAACCAATTCTAGTGCACGACACCTAATGCATGTTGCAAAAATTTGTGCACCAACAGTTGAGTGTGGAGGCAGTGTTGCTGGATGATGGGAGCTTCACAGAGGTGAGCTGCTGGGTGGTTTGACTCTTGCCTCAAAACTGCTGCTCTGTGATTTTTCTTCAGACAAAATCATTCTTCCAAATGCTCCACTTGTAGATTATGGTTTGACTCGCGCCTCAAAACTCCCTGCAGCCTTTCTATCTTATGCATGCTCTCATAGTCGTATCCCTTCCAAAAAAAGAATGGGTCGAGATCTGCACATGTTCTATCTGTCATTAATAAAAATAAATTTTGAATATTTGTTCAGAATTTGAACTGGTGCACTGGTTGGCCAAACATGAGGCAGGATATGAGGTCATCCAATCAGCAAAGCCCCTGCCCAGTCTTTTTGGCAGGGAAGTGACTAAGAGAGCATATTTAAGTTTAAAAGGCTGGAATCCAGGCTACAAAACTGCTGCTCTGTGATTTTTCTTTGAACAGAAGCTGCCTTCCAAATGCTCTACATAAATGGTTTCATTATAGCTCTAAAACTGCTACTCTGTGATTTTCCCTTGGACAGAATCAGTTTTCCCCATTCTCCACTTTAGATTGCTCCATGATACCTGAAGCTTGCCTCTCATGCTCAAATTGCCATCTCTCTGTCCAGAGTGCTCTTATGTTTTAATGCGATCTTCACTCGTGTTTAGGTTGTTAGGGATCTGCTTTCTTCAAAGATTCTCAGTTTGAATTGTATGAACATGAATGCACGTATGTAAGTATTGAGGTCATATACAACACTTCGAAGATGATATTCAACACTTTGAACAACGGAACCAAGTACTGATATTCTTGGATGCACTTGACATGCATTTAGTACAGGCTTCACTAGGGGGCATCCTTAACCAGAGCCCATGCTTCAACAGAACACAGTAGTCTATAATTGACTGACATTTGACTTTCAAATTTTGATCCACTTCACATCCAGTGATCCTTAAAATCCACATTGTGGATATTGTGGAACCTAAAAGCTGCAACTGCACACAGGGTTTCACATGCCCAAACTGCAGAAGGATGTGTAGATAAGAATTGGGCTGCACAGGAGGATAACCTTCACATTGATCTTCAGATGAAAAAACAATTGTAGCTTTGCTGTAAATAAAGTGAATTCTGGCCATGTCAGCCAGGTTTTGTGGAGCAGAAAATAGAATGTAACCAAAATTTAAAACAACACAACAAGGGTTTTATTGTTTTTTCTGACACCTACATGTAAATGTCAAGAATATACTAGTACTAATGTATATACGTAAGCCTACACAAATCTAGGTGCAACCAAGTGCAACCACAGTCCAAAATTAGGGTCACAGCCCAAATTTTGGGTGCGCAAATGTGCGTTATATAATCGATATGCACCCAGTATTTCCAGCCCAGAACTATGATTGTACAACAGTCAGACTACGTGTTCATGTGCACATGCAAGTGGTCCTCAACAGTCCAGTCACATCTCAGTGAAACTACTGTGGAAAGATCTAGAATAGATGCTCAGAACCCTGCATGAAACCTGAGTAAAGTAGGTTTGGCAGGGAGCCTAACAGAACCACTGTCAGGACAGTGAAGGAGTGCTTGTTGTTCACCACTTCTTGGCTTTAGAGGCAGCGGACAAAAGAACCTGACCTCAAGAGGTCATATCTTGGAATAACGTGCTAGTTTCGGTGTAATTTGGCCAAATTGTACTTCTTGAGAAGGACTGGTGTGGACTGGGTCACTGGACACACTGCTTGTATATTTCCTGCTAAAGGTGTTTGCAGTCACTGGATCTTTCTGTGTTTGAAGGGTAAGGAACATCAAAGGCATACAAATTTGGTAAATACAGGGACCAGGGTGGATGAAAATTGCCAATACTGAAAGCATGCGTAGAGGGAGGATTAGGAAATGGTACACAGCATTGTGGACACCACCCTGCATACAGATGGAGAGAAAAAGTTACGGCCTTATGTCTCACCAGGGATGAAGAGGATAGGATAAAGTAAGTAAGGATACTGTGCATGTGTCTTGTACATGTAAGTGTGGTGCTGGGGTTGTTTTGTAGGTGGAGAGAATACGTCTCTGAGACAGTCTGCCCTTGTGGGGTCATGTATCAGGATGACAAATTAGCTGTTGTCTGAACTTGGCTTGATGGTGATGAACTTGGAACTTGGCAGTAGCTCTGTGTTTTTTTGCTGTAGTGAAGATCAGACAAGGTGTGGTCAGGAAAGGTGATCCTTATTGTCAGGAGTGGTTGGTGTAGTCCTTAAATTCTTTATTCACATATCATCATTGTAGGCACACAATAAATTTTTATGGGTGGCAGCATTACAAATGTGTTTGCTTGATATCAACCCTAATGCTGCAGCAGTGAAGGTGGATGTTCTATACTAGGATTTGCTCAGACAAGGCAGTTATAGTCATCACTATTTGTAATCCAGTCACCTCTATAGTCCTCTCCTGGCATGTAAATACAGAAATCAGTCTGACAGATGGGACTAACGTGTACAGCATAGGGATCATGGTGGGCTTTACTGGTAGCATAGAATATAGGTCAGTGTGTATTTTACATTTTGTATTATATAGGTCAGCGCTAGCCCTGTGTCCATTTTACATAATTTACAATAACCTTCAGCCTGCTAAGGTACATTTGCAGCTGCTCCAAATTTGTATTCATTATGGCGTTAGGCAGCAGGGAGAAGGTTAACTTGTGCATATTTGGGAAGAAACTGATGAGAATGGATTGAAAGCCATTTACATGTAAACTCAGATGACTACATGTATTTGTTACTACAGTAGATTGAATAGTAAACAGATGTTATTCTTTTGTTTAGAAGGTCATAGGTGAGCAATAGGCCATAGAATATTTCTACCCTGCCTCTTGTGGGTCATTTAATGACAGGTTTATTGCAGACAGCCGACTGTGTAGCTGTATTGAATTTTTATGTCCATCTGACTGAATATTGGCTAGTATGGTAGTACTGTAAATACATTTACTTTGCAGTGGTTTTATTTCACGATAGGAGGGAAAAGGAGGTTTTTAATTAATTTCGAATTTGCATAATTGATTCTTAAACATGTGTACTTAATTCCCTAAAAGTTAAAAGTTTTTGCATTGATCCCCCTTACCAGTTGAGGACTGGAAAAAAAATTTCATTCAGTGTTTGCTCACCACATACAATTCCACTCTACTGCATGTGTAATTACAGTTCCATCAGCTATTCAGAAGGACGTTCCATACCACTGGCTCCTCCCTGTGGGTTTGTGTAAGTGAATTCTGTTTCCCCTTCATTCAATCAGGTACCTTGCAAGAGCAAACAAGCTGGAAAATACGAAAATGATATTGGAAATTTTACTTGATAATGGAACAGTCAAGGGAGGAAGAAAGAGGGGTAGGTAACAGAAACGATGGTAGGATAAATCAGAGAATGGACCGGCATGACATTATGTGAAACATTGAGAAGAATAGAAAAATGAGGATGGAGAATACTCGTCAGATTATCTGTGGTGCCACAACGGTCAAGTAATTAGACTAATAGACAAGGGATAGATGAGATGAGAATGGAACAGTCGGACTGTTATTCCTAAATTCCCAGCATGCTTCAGGAATCCATGTATGATTGGGGTCGGCCATCTTGGTCTCCGCCTCCACACATAGATGCAGGTGATGTAGATGTAGATCCATGCACAGTGATGGTATTCTCTACACTGTGAACTGCTACAGGGTTTAACATCACAGGAACTGAGCTCAGAGGTAAGAGTTTGGATAATTTACTGCAATCAGAGACAAGACTGTAATCATGCTGAGGTAATGTTTGATTATGACTGTTTATAGGGCTGATGTGATGACTTAATGACCTAATTGTGGTTTAACTTGTCGGAGCTCATACAGTATTGTGAAGTTATTTTGTAGCATATATTGTAGAGGTAGGTAAGGTAGGTAGTTAAGAGATCTGGTTGATTACTGGAATCAGATAGAAGACGTATTCTGAAGTAAGGTTTGATAATAATTATTTATAAGGCTGATGTGATGAATTAATGACCTTAATAAATTGTGGCCTAACTTGTTGGAGCTCTTACAGTATTATGAATAGGTTTAACTTAATACATACAACATTGTTGTTCAGAAAGATACTGAAACCCATGATTAACCCCACCTGATTGTAATAGATTATAGATTTATTCATATTATTTATAGCCTTTCTTGTTTAATAGAATTTTATGATTTGTTTTGTTCTGTAATTTTATAGGTTGTAGTTTACCATGTTGTATGAATGTGGCTGATTTTGTATTTTTTTGTCATATCAATTTCAACCTTAACTTTGTCAGTATGCCAAGGGTCTTAAGTTACAAGGCACTTTATGGTGAAAAATTGTAAATTCATGACACTGCAAACCTGTCTTCCTCATATGACTACTGGACTACAAAACACTGCAAAGACCTTTCCCTTTCCTTCTCTGAGTACCAGGAAATAAAACCACAGCAACAGTAAATGAATTTACAGTACATGCATGTTGGGCTGATTATCACTAAGATAATCTTGTCCCTTACAGACAGATTATTACCTCCATCCATTATCATAGCTAGTGCCAACACTAGTCTATGTAATGATATTTCATGATACAGTGTAATAACTTAATGATAATATCTGTCCTATATGGATGTTATTTACTAGATACTCTGTATGAGGCTGCCAGGAATGTAAAGGCTAGGCTACCAAGTGAGATGGTCTTGTCAACGTAATGTTGAATAATTATTGATGCAAATTGTTCATCATAAATTGCCACTACAAATGCTGATGCAGATGTCACACTTCTAGAGGAGAGGAAAAACTGATGAATCACATCTTGCAAGAATATTTCATACCTCGTCCTTATTCCCCCCCTGATGTTTACATATTCAGGTCACGGATCCATAGTGGCAGAACCATCCACCGTATTGCTGCTGGTGAGATTAGCGTTATAGCAATGCAGCTCTCTTGGGGAATATGCCATATGTGGGTTTGCTGCTTCAAAATTCCCCATGAAAATTACCCTTTGAAGCTTGTATGCATTTTTGTTCAA